AACAAAACTTAGAATACAAAAGAAAAATCTAAACAAAGAAATGCAAACTTTACAGGGAGAGAAAAATCAACGATTTATGAGTAAAACCTCTAAAGAAACAAGCAAAAAATATTTACCAATATATAAAAATAATTATGAAGATAATTACTTAAATGACATACAGTTACAGTCTTACTTTCAATGTATTTCAGATTAAATATCTGCCATTAGAAATGACATAATTTTAGTAGGACCTACAGTTACACAATTACTCATGTACTGTTCCGAATATGATAATATTATAACACTAACATCTTTACATTTCAATTATGCAAATTCTGTTTTCTTTTCTGTCAACAATTCTCCAAAAATTCAAAATAGCAATGGAAACAATGGAAGCCATTGGAATTTATTGGTGTACAGTAAAATTGATAATACTTTTCGTCAGTATGACAGTGTATATGGTTTAAATGAAAAATATGCTCAACTTTTATTAAAAAATGTGAAAATTGATGCTTCCTTTAAATCAGTTGAAACATCCCAACAAAAACAAAACTTCGAATGTGGTTTGGTTTACATGTTATAGTTGATGCGAAACTAATAATAAATCAAATTGTAAATGATAAGTATGTTCATATGAAAGTAAAAAAAAAACTCTTTACCCCAATCCCCAAAAAATAACACCCATTTTGAAATCAATGAAGTAAAAGACTGTAAAAATCTTGACAAACGCAAAATATCCTCAGAAGAAGAAAGTAGATCCGGTCCAATCCTCAAAAAAACAAATCAATTTCATAAGATTAACAAACCTATGATAAAAGTAAGATCTAAATCTACAAAAGTGATAAACCAAACTTTATTCAAAAACAGATTTTCAATACTTGGATCAGATGAAGTAGAAATTACTAGCACAAATATAACAAATATTAATGACAATACAAAAAATGTAAATAATCTTAATAAAAACTCAACACCTATAACCAATGAAACTTAATCACATAAAAAATAAAAAAAAGGAAAACATTTTAGTACAGTATTAAAAGACAAAAACCAAATTCTTACCAGATTGTCAAACTAAAATTACTAATAACGTACCAAACAACAATGAAGACGAAACGGAAAATTATGTTAATGTACTGAATTCTTGTACTAGTATATTGAAAAACATGAAGATTGAGAACATTGAAAATAACAATAGGCCTACTCTTAAAGAGAAAACTAAATTGAGTTATCTCATTAATAAAAAAAAACTAGAATTTTATCAGACAGTCATGGAAGAAGCATAAGGAACTTGCTAAACAAAAATATTAAACATGACGAATCATTTGAAGTTTATAGTAGTTTTGTAACACCAAATGGTCCAAATTTTAACCCTTTGCGGACGGGTGACGGATATATCCGCTTATGGTTTTTGATGTTTCAGACGGGAAGCGGTTATATCCGCCTTCTCTTCAGACAGACTGGCAGGTGCTTGAGCAGTAACCAGATGTTTCACGGTACCAAGGTGCCACTTTCCTTTTTTTTTGGCTGCGCTCTCCCCCACACTCCCCCCTCTCTCGCGCGCCAACCCCTCTTCTGCGTCACCCCCCTCCCGCGCACCTACCACCATTCCTAGGCTCCTCTCTCGACGTTTCGCGCTCAACATTACGTTGTCTTTATTTATTGTTTACATATTGTCCTTTATTTATTGCCTAACGTTGTCATGGTCATATCTTCAAAGACGGGTGGCGGATATATCCGCTGCATTTCTACTTATTCGCGGATAGCTGATATATCCGCAGAGTTAAAAACGAGTAAAAGATTATTTTGACAGTATGAAGTGTTCCATTGTGTTTTTTTATGTATACTTGTAAAACAAAACACAAATAAGGAATATTAATTTTTATTTTTTCCTCTTATTTTTTCCCGTCCTATGTCACGATTTAGCCCGTCCGGGAAGGGTTAAGTATACCGGTACTGAAAATAGTTTTGACTATAATAAAAAAAGTATGGATAAAAATGATTTTATAGTAATTATGTGTGGAACAAATGACATTTGCTTAGAATTAAATATTGGTGATTTTTTTTAAACATTGAAGAAAGAATAAGAAGATTATCTCACACAAATGTTTGTCTTATTGGCCTACCTTGGAGTTACGATTTACCAATGCTGAACAAAAAAATATCAACAATAAATTAAAAGCTATATGAATTTACTATTTTAATACGGGGTGCGATCTTATAGGAGAAAGATCTACTTTTCCCACGTGACAACATTGGGTGTATTTGCCCCAATTCTCGTCTCTCATCAAAAATACAGAGCATTGCAATTTCTGCATATCTGATCCATAGGCCCCAGACAATGCAATGCAGGATTTAGGTTCGTCAAGCCAGGTCTTCTCTCTTCTGCATCACGTCTAATACACATCAAATCTCGCACCAATCTCCGTCCCTGCATGTTTTCCCTATTTATTCTTCGGACTCTTGGCATTGTTTATTTAAGTATTTTTTCAGTAAAAACAAAAAAAAATGTTTATGATATTATACGTTAAGGGTTATCATTTACTATCTCACATGAATATAAATATAAGTCATAAAATAAAATGATCAAACATCATATGTTATATTAGATTATCAGCAAGTAAAAAATGTCTTGCTTCCAACTTTTTCTTTCTGACAGCAACTGGAGTTTTATATCAACTTCAATTCCCATGTTATTGTGGAAGAAAAAAAATACTTTAAAGGCACCCCCCACATTTCTGAAAAATAATATTGAAAAACAAAAACCTTAATGCAAAACTACGAATTGGGACAAACATTTTGACAACTCAAACAGTAAAATCGGTCCAGGAATAACGGAGGAGTTTTGTTCACAAAAAACAGCCTTCACGTATTAATATAAGAGATATATACATATAATGTATAACATTTTGAACGGTTGGAATTTTTGGCCTCTGGGGACATCAAAATAAAAAAGTAAATCAGTCCCGGGCCTAGGTCTTACTGTGCCACCTACAGTAATAGCTACTTCCCTATAAGGTATTACTCTATTTTCAATTCCTGGGAAAATATTCGCAAGAATTATTTTGAACAGAATCAAAGAGGTTGTTGATAGGAGTTGAGAAGGGAGCAAGCTGGGTTCAGAAGGAACCGCTCATGCACAGACCAAATAAATACGATGAGGATAATAATCGAGCAAAGTAATGAGTTCAGAGTAGGCTTGTATCTAGTTTTTATTGACTTCCTGAAAGCCTTTGACTCCGTAAAAAGAGAGAGTATTTGGAAGGCACTTAAAAAATTTGAGATTCCTAACAAAATAATAGTTCTTATAAAGGAGATGTACACAAATTACCATTGTAGAATAATTCATAATGGTAAACTAAGTGATCCTTTGGAGGTAAAGTTAGGAGTTAGGCAAGGCTGTGTTCTGTCACCAACACTTTTTGTGATAGTTCTAAACCAGGTTTTGCAAAATATATCAGAGAAAGGAGCTAGAGGCATATCCCGTGGTCTCCAACAGAGGCTTGAAGAACTGGCCTATGCTGATGATATTTGTTTCCAGTCCCATAGATTTGATGACATGACAGCCAAGTTGCAGGATTTGGAAAGTGAACAATCTACAGGCTTAAAAATAAATGTAAAGAAAACAAAATCGATGAGGATAAATGTAGCGAATAACAACAGTTTCAGAATATCAGATGAAGAAATCGAAGAGGTGAACAGCAGATTTACATATCTGGGGGGAAGCGGAAGCGTCTTAACAAGAGCGGGAGGAGCTGATAAATATGTTATGTCAAGAATTACTAAAGCTAATGTTGCTTTTGTACAGTTGTATCCAGTGTGGAAGGCTCAAATGACATTTCGACCAGAACCAAGTTGAAGATATTTAGTAGCAACGTCAAGTCTGCTTGCTGTATGGGTGTGAGACTTGGAAGGTATCTTCATCTTTGACTCAAAAGCTCCAAGTTTTCATCAACAGATGTTTGAGGAAAATACTGAAGATCTACTGGCCCGAGGTTATTTCAAACAGAGAGCTGTGGAAATCTGCAGATGAAGAACCTGTAGATATACAGATTAAAAAATACAAGTGGCGATGGATTGGAAATACTCTTCGTAAAGATCCAGATGCTGTAGAGAGGCAGGCCTTGAGCTGGAATCCCCAGGGGCATATACGAAGAGGAAGGCCTAGAATGACTTGGAGAAGAACTATAGAAGAAGAAATAAAAGGTGCAGGGAAAAACTGGAGGGAAGTGAGAGCCTTGGCTGCCAACTGAGTCTGATGGCGTTGTTTCATGGAGGCCCTATGCTCCATGCAGGAGTGAAAGGAGATGTCAAGTAAGTCAAATATAAGGAAATTCGCCTATAAGACAAAATAGCTGTCTGCTAGATAAACTGATGGGTGTGTTGCTAGCCTAGTGGTTAGCATCTCGGACTTCGGTGCGGGAGGGACGGGTTCAATCCCCGGCACATCCACAAAACTTTAATGGGTTTGGACCGCTTTCCCTTAAAAGTGTTTGTGTTTGACTTCACAAACAAATGCCACTGGCGTATATAGCCTACGAGCAAAAAAAAAAAAAAAACAATAAAAAAACTCACCGGTCTCCCAGAACGATGCATTTTCTGCACTGGTCCTGTACCGGTGCACTGGTTCGTGTTCCTAGAACCTATGCCATACAGTAGTCCCCACCCCGTTGAAAACTCAGGGCTTCAGCAGAACATCAACAAGCACAAATAAAAATATACATCTACCCTGTACAAATAGGTTCTCTGATAAATAAATAGATCAAGTTACGGTATGTATTATGAATATTTGTTATGTCATTTGTATGTTTTTTTCCCCGACAGTAAAATTATTCTTTGTTTAGCATGGAATTATCTTTAGATGTGTTTAATAAACTTAAATCCTCAACGTTGTTGGATGCAGATACTGCCCATCATTCTTTAAACTCCCCTGGTATATGTTTTATGGTAGCATATATCAGATTCAGATTTAGAATTTATTTCCAACACTAAAAGAACTATGAGGTGAGCTATAAGTTTACCTGTGACTGGTCAAACAGTGTGACAGCCACTAGGTTTGTCCCTGTCGTTGGTACAGTTGCTGTTGTGTTGTCTACAACGTGCCGTCCCTGCAACTTACGCAGCAACATACTCTTGCCTGAACCGGTAGGTCCCACGCATAAACAAATGGCCTTCTGGGGCTGCCCTAAAATACATTCTAATGATAATGATAAAATAATAGTTATAACCAATACAAAAAAAATGTTATACTTGTTGTACCAACACAAAATAAACACAGTATATCAGCAAACTGACACATACTTCTTCCCGTTCCCGTTAACTGGTCAACAACCTCTTAATGGTTAAGTAGTGGGAGTAACCATGATATTTTATGTATAAAATCACTAATTGCAATAACTTTTGAAACACAATTCCTACTACAGCTTTGGAGGTGTACCATTTTGTTTAGAGTTAAAATAACCATAACATACTATAAATTTGAATCAAAATCATTAGAGCCATTTTTTTGAAATTCTGTAATTCTACAGACAAGCTTTGAGTTTAAGTTTTGTCTGAAGGAGAATGATCTGGTAAATAGTGTAGGAAGAAACCAAAAATCTTAATTTGAAGTTTAAAATTAAATTTTAATGTCAAGCAAGAACGACATTTCAACAAACGTATAGAATGACAAGCCAATCAAAAGAATGTGTAATTTAATACCGGTACTCATCAAATTTCAAATATGATTTTAGTTTCCCAACACCAAATGACAACACTATTTCATAGATATTTGATAAATAGTAAATAAGGACAATATTATTGAGTTTCTAATATCTTAATAAGAAGTAAATGAAAATTCTTGATTAGGTAGTTTATCAAACACTACATTACCTTATAATTATTAGAATTTTAATTTACCTTGAGACATTATTTAGTCAGAATTTTAATGAAAATTGGCTGGAACAACAAATAATAATTATTACAGTATTATATAGAAGATATAATCAATGTTATTATTATCTAAATGTTCAATTTTTATCCTCTTATTATTCAATTTTCATCTCAATAAATTCTACATTCTTCCAAATGGTGGTTTATAACTATAAAAGCTTGATGGGTGTAATGTTATACATAAAAATAGTGGACTATAGTTAGATTAAGTTGATTCACCCAATTTAGTGATTATTTAATGTGCTTCTTTACTCATAGTCTTCTCTTGCACAACAACTGACATTGACAAAGAGAACTGACTAATATTGTTCAAAGTTGCTAGGCAACCATAGAAGTAAAGCCAATGAGCCAATAGAGTATGGAGGTCATATTAGTTTATTACTATATGAAATGAATACTTGATGCCATATATAAATTATTGTAATTTCCTGCATTCTTATTCTGAATACAAACAGATTCAATAACACACCTAAATAGCCAATGGTATAAAATGCATTCATCTACGGTACTATAGAGTAGACTAACTAACCACAAGTAGACTTCTCGTCCCATGTTAATTTTTGAAGCTCGTTTTTGTGTCTAGTTCATGTCCGGTTACACTGAGTGTTAGAGTTGACGAAATTTTGTTTATATTATTTTAGGGTTCATTTAATGATCTATGCTTTACTGTTTCGTTATATAACTAGAGGACGAGTTTTTTTTTTATGATTAGATCATTTATTTGGTTACACGAGGACGTGGTTTTATAGCTATTTACCTTGCAAGTGTAGTAAGAGCGTTTTTACATCACGCAGGTGAATGTTGTGCAACGAGCGGAAGCGAGTTGCATAATTTACCGAAGTGATGTAAACACGCTCTTGCGTAACGTGTAACGTACAACATTTTACCTGACCCGACAATATACAGGGGGTTACGAACAATATTTTTCATTATCCATTTCACTCATCTTCTAACAGTAACGTTCATTTACAAACAAAAGCTAGGTTAGGAAAATTCTTCAAAACATAACAATAAAATTCAAGCGCACAGCTGATTTCTAGCGTTGAACGTCGTTGGCTCCATAGAGGTATATTTTTTAAGTTAAGCACTCAATGTTATTTTACCTAACCCGCCATGTTAAACTTCCCCATCCCAAGCGTGATGTATATAACTTCGTTACTTCTCGAGTGATGTAAAGTTGAAAAAAACTCACTCGGTGATGTAATGAAACCCATTTAAATAACATTGAGTGCTTAACTTAAAAAATATACCTTTATGGAGGTATATTTTTTAAGTTAAGCACTCAATGTTATTTTACCTAACCCGCCATGTTAAACTTCCCTATCCCAAGCGTGATGTATATAACTTCGTTACTTCTTGAGTGATGTAAAGTTGAAAAAAACTCACTCGGTGATGTAATGAAACCCATTTAAATAACATTGAGTGCTTAACTTAAAAAATATACCTCTTTGGAGGTATATTGGTCTTTTGTGATCACTGGTGCTACTCTAACCTTGCCCAACGTTATCTACGGCGAATCGTCCCCACTCCGACTACTGGAAACGCTCCTCACTAGCATTGCCGACGGCGTCATGGGCAGACGTCGCTACGTTTTCCTACATTTTACATGGACTCTTCAATTCTCATTAAATCACAATTAACTTCATTTTGTCAGTTTTCAGTTTTTTCAATATACCAGTCATTTTTAACTTCACCAGTGCTAGTCATTTCCCTTGTTGTTGCCCCCGCACCCTTGGTCTACACCGCTGCTGTCTACCGCTTCCATCCCTTGGACTACCCACTACCTTGGACGAGACGGACATCATCCACCTTCAAGACATCCGACAAGGTAACGGTAGCCAGCATTAATTTTGTTTTGTTCAAACCGCCTACGGCTTTCCGCTAACCGTACAAGTATGTTATAGTCCTTTAAATTCTGAACAGAATGGTACGAATCCCATTTCCGTAAAAATTATGGTTCAAAAGTTATTGTAAATTTTGTTATTTTCCCATAAAAACCCATAAAATAAGAAAAAAATTAGATTTTTGGAGAAAAGCTGGTTTTGATCAAAATAAATTTGTTGTTGTCCTTATAATTCTAAAATAAAAAAAATGTACAGCACCCCATTCATTGAGTGTTAAAATACGCAACTAAGTAGCGTCCCCATCTCAATTATTGATAATTGATAATTGATAATCGACCATTAATTGCTGTAACAATTATGGCTCAAAAGTCATATCATATACTCTCACCGTACCTATGATAAAGGTTGTTGACAAGCTTATGGGAGAAAGTATGTACCAGAATGCTGATAGGTACCGTTTATTTTAAATTTCACTCTGTCGAAGTTGATATCGCCACTATACTGTACGTGATTCAATTCCTTTGATATCACGGACGATTAATACCAAACATTAGAAATAACAAAATAAATTTTAACAAAAACTAGGTATCTTCTTTATTGTATTCAACAAAACAACATACTAAACTATTTTCTGTTTACAAAACAATTGAAAAACATATGACTGTTTATGTATTAATTATTAAACAGTCTTTTGGCAAACTTATATGAAATATATTGAGGGGTTTTCTTTATCAATGATTAATCATCGTACGTCAATCATCCCCCCCAAAACCCTCAATATATATTTCAAATCTTCCTCTTTCTAGACCTTAAGTTGTAACCAGGTAAGGCATCGTTATGGTCTTCTGCTTCTAGTTCATTATCTTCGGCTTGAGTTGCTTCACGGAGAGTTTGTGGGAGTATTTTCAACTCCGACATGTGTACCTTAATTGGTGGATCAGACCTCAAGAGGTACACTCCCTTCCCTAGCTTGTGTTCCACCTCAAATGGTCCAAGCCATTTCCGTGCCATCCCTGCATGCACATTTTTAAGCTTATTACTCAAGGGATGGTTTCGCCTAAGAACCAACGTACCCGGTTTCAGGTCCTGCTCTTCAGGTACATCGTTTCTCTCTGCTTCCCTCTTCGAACTCTCTTCGGCTTGTCGATTCATACGTTTGATTTGTTTTGCGTTTTCTTCATGCCATGCAGTCAAATTCATAGTTTCAGGAGACTGTTCATGCATAAAGTTCCAATCACCAGTTCTTTTTATTTCCCGACCAAGAAAAAGTTCTGCTGGGGAGAACCCTGTGACGCGATTCACTCGCTGTCTGATGGCCAGGAGAGACTCATGCAAGTGTTGATCCCATTTGGTATGTTCTTTGTCGAACAAATGAATCCTGAACAGCTCCTTAAGCTCCTGATTTCTCCGTTCAGTAGGATTTGCCTGAGGATGGTATATTGGCGTTCAATAGCCCACTCAGTTAAAGTCCGCAACCATTGTTTTGACGTGAACGGACTGCCATTATCTGTGAGAAGACATCGTGGATAACCATACCGACTAAAGACCTCTGTTCGTAGGAGCTGTAGGATTCTTCCCGATGTAGCTTCAGGAATGGCAAATGCTTCGACCCACCTGGTAAAAAGGTCTGTCACCACCAAAATTCCAGTCTTCCCTCGAGATGTTCTGGGATATGGTCCCATAAGATCTAGAGCCACAACCTCCCACAGCTGGTGTGGCCGACGTCCTCTCATGCTTGTACTAGCTTTTTGGTTGTTGGCCTTGGTACAGGCACAGATAGTGCAGGATTGGACGTAGTTCTTGATGTCCCGATGCATATTTACCCAGAAGAAACGACGCCGAATCGAAGTGTAGGTCTCGTCTTGTCCTGGATGGCCAGCTTCAGGGCTGTCGTGGTACTTCTCTAGAATCCTTACGGCCTGAGACTTCGGAACTACAATCACAGGAGAAGATTCTGATAGATGAGATTTATACATAAGTATACTGTCTTCCAAGCGAAAGTTCTTATAGCATGTCTTGAACTGGAATGGGACAGCTTCAGAATTTGTGTAACGATTGGTTATCCAGGATTTCATTCTACTACAAGCTGCATCTTCATTCTGCCATTTCTTTATCAGTTCCAAGTCAATGTCACAATTTTCCCGTTGTGCCACCATAAGAACAGGCTCAATCTGTTTTAACTTCATTGGGACTGGAACTTCCCTCTCCATGAGTTCTTTGGATATCTCACCACTGTCTACCGGGTTTCTTGACAAGCTATCAGCGGCTTGATTTAACTCTCCTGGGACGTGATGTATTTCAAAGTCAAAATCGGCCAAAATTAAGGACCATAGCATCAGTTTTGACTTGGTTCCGGATACTTTGTTTAGCCACTGTAGTGATGAGTTATCAGTGAATAATTTAAATTTTCTTCCCTCGAGATACCCCCTGAATTTCCCTACTGCCCACACTACCGCTAGAGCCTCCTTTTCAGCTGTACAATAGCTTTTCTCAGAAAGGGAAAGTTTCCTGCTTGCATACTCAATGATATCCTTGCCTCCTTCTATTCGCTCTTGAAAGAGAACAGCCCCAAGACCTACATTACTGGCATCTGTCTGTAAGCATATTTCCCGATTGGGGTCCAAATAAGCTAATCCTGGAGAGTCACAGATGGATCTCTTTATCTCACTGAAAGCTTTCTCTTCCGTCTCGGTCCATTTAAAAGGTTTATTTTTATGAAGAAGGTCAGTTAGAGGTGAAACCTTGGATTCAAAATGAGGTACAAAACAACTGTACCAACCGCACAGGCCCAAAAACTGTCAAACTTTACGCTTCGTACCAGGTCTTTCGTACTCTTCAATAGCCTTGTTTTTCTCAGTTTGCCTCTCTAATCCTTTGTCTGTTAACACATGACCCAAATATTCTACTGAGTTGGACGCAAAGTGGCATTTCTTCACCTGACAGGTAAGTCCATGAATTTTCAATCTTTCTAATACTCTAGCCAAATGTTCCAAGTGATCAGAAAATGTTTTGCTGTAAACTAGTATATCGTCCAAATAAACTTGACAAAATTCACCAACATAACCTGACAAAACTTTGTCCATCAGACGCATGAATGTTGCTGGGGCATTTTTCAATCCAAAGGGCATAACACGGAATTGATATAGTCCCCTTGGTGTTGAAAAAGCGGTCATAGGCCGAGATGATTCTTCTACCTCTACTTGCCAATAGCCAGAATTCAAATCTAAAGTGCTAAATACTTTGGCCCCACTAACTTGCTTAATCAGATGTCGTAGATCAGGCATCGGGTAAGCATCAGCAATAGTTTTATTGTTGACTTGACGTAAATCCACACAAAGTCTGTAGTCTCCGTTCTTCTTTTTGGGTAATACTATTGGTGAAGCCCATCCTGAAGACGATGGTTCAATTAGTCCTTGATTTTCCATTTCCTTTACTTTTTCTATGACAAACTTCCGTTTGTCGGGGTTAAGAGGGTAAGGTTTCTGTTTGACAGGTGTGTTATCTTTACAAGAGATCATATGTTTTACCGTAGTAGTGAACCCAATTCTGTCTGTAATTACCTCTGGAAAGATACTGAGTAAGTTAATCAAGTCTGTTCTTTGATTGAGATCCAAAATTCCCGTTTTCAGTTCATCCAAAACGTTGTTTTCTAATTCTGCTCCCAAATCAAAGTGTTTGTCCTCTAACCATCCCAATCTAACTCTATTCTTAATGCCAAAAAATATTTCATTTGCTGTGTAATCTATCAACACACCGTATTTAACAAGGAAATCATGCCCTAGTATGATTTCCGGGATTAAATCCTTAATCACTTTTACTGGAATTTGAATATATTCTTGAGAACATTTGGCTTCAAGAAAAGTAAATCCTTCGATTTTGTAATTTATATCTTGTACTGCACCTTTGACAACAGTTACACCGTCTGGACAAACAGGTTTTAACAATTTAGCCACCGTCATGCCAATAAACGAATGTGATGCTTGAGTATCAAGGGCTGCAGTATAATATTTGTCACCAATCTGTAAACTAATTGCCGGACGGGGATTACCCACACTCTCACTAGAAATTTGACCAATATAAGTTTTTTCTGACTGGTAGTTTTGGGACTTTTCTAGAACCATTCTCGTCCCTATTAGAACGGTTCTGGTCTAGTTTTCCGGACAACGGGCCTTCACATGCCCAGTTTGCCCACATTGATAACATTTAAAGGAGTTATCAGGGTTCGAAGTTCTGGTTTTTGAGGAATAAAAGCTTACCTCTTCGTCTAGCTTTGCTACTATGCTCCTGAGTTCGTCAAATGATTTTGGTTGAGCTACCTTAACTAGAGACCTAATCTTATCATGTAAAAGTTCTATAATATAAGTAACACTCTCGTCAATACTCCCACCATCATTCATTCTCTTAAACAACTGTAACTTTTGAATAACAAATGCCCCAGCTCTCATGCCACTAGGTTGAACATCCGTCAAGAATTTCTTAGTGATTAATGCTTTGACAGACTCTGAATTAAATCTCTGCATAAACTCATGTTTGAATGTGTCCCATTCTAGACTTAGACCCTTAATGTTTTGCCACCAAGTACCTGCCGAAACCCTCAACTGTTGGCTCACAATCTGCAGATATATTTCTGACGGTATACACGTCCGTTTTAACAAAGACTCGCACGTAGCTAGAAACGCTGTGGGACATTTCTCCAACCTCCCATGAAATTCCGGTAGGCTGTCTTTGATAATTTTGGGATCTACAGTAGGCATGAATGATAGTTGGGATTCTGGATTATTCAAAGTAATTGTCTTTTCCTGTGAGGATATCTGTGTTCCAATAGCTTGCATTTTATTGTTAGTTTCAATGTAATTAATTTTAGTTTCCAATTCATTTAATTTATCAGAGTTACCAACAAAATTTGTTTCTAATTTCGTAATTTTATTAATGGTTACGACAACATCTGACTCCAATGATTCGATTCTATTGTCTAATTTTGAATAGTTTTGAGAAATTTGTTCCATAAAAGATGACATATTACTATTAATATCTGCCGACTGTGTGTCAAGTTCCTCAGATTGGATATCTAGTTTCTCCGAAATTTTGGACAGTAGAATACTCACCGGGTCAGGTTGTGGTATTTGTTCTGCCAACTGGGTATTCCGTCCTACCCGTGAATCGTGATCGAAGCTCGTAGGCTTTGCTTCCTGTCCCCTTCTGCTCACCTTCTTCCAGGCCTTTCTCTAGCATTTCAGTTGTTAATTCTTCAACTCCTAATTTTGTCATTTCTAAATTACCCATGTAGCACAGATGGTTGGGCCAACGTTGGTAAATTGTGGAGCCACACAGTTGGCCAACGGTAGAAATGTCACCTCTTTAAACTGTTTTCCAGCCAACCTTTGTCCAACAATGGCCCAACCAAAATTATTTCACACAAAATAATAAAGATTTAGTACGAAAAGCATAATTATTAGTTGAGTAAATTGATTAAATAGTTCATAAAAACAAATTTTGAAAAAAAGCTGGAACAAATTTTTTTGGCCCAGACGGGTCTCGAACCCGGGTCCTTCGACTTATGAGCCGGAGTTAGAGAGGATACTGGTATTTGAATATAGATTAATTAATTACCGTTAGATTATTAATGCTATTATAATTGACTGTTATATGATTAATTACTCTTTCCCCTTAAATTGTTGCAAATAAGTTAAAGAATATTAATTTAAAAAATATTTGCATTATTATAATTATTAAAATTCATTGTTGTAGCCCCGGAACTGTAATATGTAAAATATCTGGTTTTACAATACCTTTATCAGTTCCAAAAACTTTTGGAAACTTTTGGAACTGATAAAGGTATTGTAAAACCAGATATTTTATTATAATTATGTTGTGAAAGCTAGACCCAGAGAATGAAAGTCGTGTAAACTCAACTATGGACCATCGTTGGTCCAACAAAAGTATCTTTTGTTGGTCCAACGGAGTGAAAAACGGTTGGACAACGGTTGGCTTGATGTATGATACCCAACAATGCATATTAATGTATTTCATTAACAATGAACCGATGTTGGTCCACAGTTGTAAATATTGGTTGGCCCAACTACGAGATATACAGTTGGACAACGGTTGGTTGGTTGTGGAAGCTCCAACCAACCGTCGACCAACTGTCCCACAGTTGGCCAACGTTGGCCCAACCATCTGTGCTACATGGGTAAAAGTCCTGTCACGGTCGCCAATTGATATCGCCACTATACTGTACGTGATTCAATTCCTTTGATATCACGGACGATTAATACCAAACATTAGAAATAACAAAATAAATTTTAACAAAAACTAGGTATCTTCTTTATTGTATTCAACAAAACAACATACTAAACTATTTTCTGTTTACAAAACAATTGAAAAACATATGACTGTTTATGTATTAATTATTAAACAGTCTTTTGGCAAACTTATATGAAATATATTGAGGGGTTTTCTTTATCAATGATTATAAAAAAATATTATTATATGATATTGGTAACAGTATTTGCCTTTAAAATGTTTCAGTTTTTTTTCGGACACCCGGTATTTAAAACAATCCATCAAAAGCATAAAGCATAAATGCTAGTCCAGGATTAATATTACATTATAACAACATTTCTAGTGAAATTAAATTTGATACGTAGATTATTATTGTTAAAATAATTCTTCTAGTTGTATTATATGTGTAGTTCAATCATAATAAACAAATGCTTTCTAAAATACCTGTCTGCAATATAAAACAGATGATTGTCACGGGGGATTTTAGTGTAGAAAAGGGTAAATGAGTGGGAGATTTACCATGATAGGGAAATCATATGTTGAATTCCAACCGCACAATAATTTTAGACAGACTATAATCATCGTACGTCAAAGTTAGAAGAATTATCGTAAGGGTTTAAAGCAACCGTCGATTTTGACGGATTTCGCCTAGTTTTTACTCAAATCAAATTTTTCATAAATAAGACATATTTATTCCCAATTTAAATATCATTAGATTTAACAAGTGCTTAGGTTTGCTACTACGGCGGGGAAGGTAAAAGGTGTTTTGACCAAACGTCAATAGTATAGGATGAAATAAAATAATATACCAAATTTTATCAACATATATCCATAAACAAGTAAACTACAACCGTTTTCATTTTCTCCAGAAGAATAACATGGAAATTTTTAGTTACACTTTTTGAATTTTCTCCGTAACTGTTAGGCACACAAAAGCGCTTCAATATACTAAATTATTTATTTTTTTAAGCTCTACAAAATGGTTGGGAAAGAAATTGTAAATTATTTTGTTTTTAGGGTCAAAAATGGGAAAAGCCGATTCCTATTCTATGAAACCCCCTATTAACCCCCATCCCCATGGTCCGATCTGCTGGTTCGGGAACTCGTTGGAATAAATGTAGGTTTACACGTTTATTATACCAAACTAGCTGTAACCCGCGGGCTTTGCCCCGTTAAACTTCTTAATTTTCAAGATGATCTCGTTCGCATGGCTCAATCACGTCCTGGTTGAAGTTCGTTCGCTACGCTCACTCACCTTTATGTTGGAGCTCGTTCGCTACGCTCACTCACCTTTGGGTTGGAGCTCGTTCGCTGCGCTCACTTGCCTTCAGGTTAGCTCGTTCGCTACGCTCACTTGCCTTCAGGTTAGCTCGTTCGCTACGCTCACTTGCCTTCAGGTCAGCTCGTTCACTACTCTAACTCGCCTCCAGGTTGAAGTTCGTTCGCTATGCTCACTCACCTTTTGGTTGCAAATTAGCTGTTGTCATAAATGTAAAAGAAATAATAGTGCTGCACCCTGTTGGTAATCCTTGTAACTTTAATGCTAGAGAACATCATAGAACAGAACCAACTTGTTTAATTGAAACAGCTGTTAAGATTCATTAATTCCATTTCTCATAAGGTTAACATGGGAAACTACAGAGCCACTGGGGCGGAGCCGATTGGACGGATCACGAAACTGATGGTGTATAAACCTATTCCATGAAATTCTACACGTATGTACCAAGTTTCGTGGCAATCGGTTCAGCGGTGTCTGAGTTTATCACTGCCAAATATATATATATATATATACAAACATCCTCTTTTATACTTATAGATTTAATCAAAATTGGATAATTTTTTTCGAGTTATCGTGCTAACGGACATATATATGTATAAATATTGTTTTGAACGGATGGTGTTTTTGGTCTCTGGGGACCTCAAAACGAAAAAGTAAATTGGTCCCGGGTCTAGGTCTCACCATGAGACATACGGTAATAGCTTATTACCTATAAGGGAAATTCGCTAAGAATGCAGGTAGGCTTGGTTTCAAACTAAAGGAACGGATGTCTAAATACTATACAGCCCGATGTGTAACTGACTGGGGATACAAATTCTAGACCACTTCTAGATGAGCTAGAGACTTGAAATTTTCGGTGGTTGTAGGTCTAGTGCCCAAACCACCCATAAAATTCCAAAAAGTCGCATTTTCAAATTTTAACCCCCCGAAATTTTGAATTCCCCCCCCCATGTTATTCTTATGGGGAATAACGTTAAAAATGGCCGAATTTGGTGTGCACCTCTGAGCGGTTTAGAAACGTGCTAGAGACTTGGAATTTGCGTAGTATTGTACTATGGGATCGTAAATTAACGGTGAGTTTTGCAAAAGTCCCATTTTCAAATTTTAACCACCCCAAAATCCAAAATGGCGGACCTCTGAAAACGACAAAACACGTTTTTTTCAACCGGATGTAGCTCGAAAACGGTGGGAGCTAGATAAGATTTGAAAGAATTTTCATGAACGGGAATTAAATTTTCTACAAAACCCTTCTTCGGCGTTTTCCGAAAATCGCACTTCTTCAGCTTCAAAAAACGCCCTGCTTTCAAAATTGGGTAAGTTTTTTCAAAATTTTTAACGGTTTTCGCCATTTTTTCTTGACTAAATAATTTTTTTTACAAATATTGTTAATGTTTTGTATTCTCCTTACTTTACTTTAAATTTTACACGCTACATGTTTTTTCGTAACTTTACTCTTTGACCCCCAAAACTTATTTTTAATGTCGAAATTTGAAAGTTTTTACGAGCCCCATGTTATTCTTATGGAGGATAACATTGAAATTTAATGACTCTTTGTTATGGTCATCTGAATTGTTTAGAAACGTGCTAGAGACTTGTAATTTGGTAGTATTGTAGTATGGGATCTTAAGTTAAGGGTGAAATTTACAAAAGTCCCATTTTCAAATTTTAACCTCCCCAAAAATCCAAAATGGCGGACATCTAAAAACGACAAAACACGTTTTTTTTAAAGGGCTATAGCTCGGAAACGGTAAGAGCTAGAAACGATTTGAAATAATTTTCATGGCCAGAAATTAAATTTTCTTCAAAACCCTAGGTGCGTTTTCCGAAAATCGCACTCCTTCAGCTTCGAAAAACGCTCTACTTTCAAAATTTGGTAAATTTCCTTAAAATGTATACCGGTTTTCACTATTTTTTCATACTTAATTAATTCCTTTTTGAAAATATTATTATTGCTTTGTATTCTCCTTACTTAACTTTAAATTTTTACTCTCTACATGTTTTTCGTAACAACAAAAAACCGTTGTTACCGGTGTTGGACCGGTGGGGGTCGTTACTCCTTGACCCCCAAAACTTAATTTTAGTGTCAAAATTTGAAAGTTTTTACGAGCCCCATGTTATTCTTATGGAGAATAACATTGAAAGTGGCCGACTTTGGTGTGCTCATCTGAAAGGTTTAGAAACGTGATAGAGACTTGAAATTTGGCAGTAACGTAGTATGGGATCTTAAATTAACGGTGAAATTTCCAAAATTCCCATTTTCAAATTTTAACCACCCCAAAAATCCAAAATGGCGGAACTCTCTCCTTTTAAGTCTTTTTTTGGTTTTCGCTACTTTTTCCTACCTTTGCGATTTTTTTGCAATTATTATTAATGCTTTGTATTTTCCTTAGTTTACCTTAAATTCTACACTGTACATGCTTTTTTCGTAACATTTTGCTCCTTAACCCCTAAAACTTAAGTTTAATGTCAAAATGTGAAATATGTTTACGAGCTCCATACCCAGACAGCACACTTTATCCCAGGGACATCCCATAGTAGTCCCATATATGTCCTGAGAATGTCTCGGTATGTACGCTAGCAAAA